GAGGCTCAGAAGTGTGAAATGCAGGACCTCTAGACTGAAAAACTCTTTCTTTCCCTCTGCCATCAGACTCCTAAACAGCTGACTCAGGATCTACCTCATGTAATTCCATCTGTACTGTTTACATACTCATTTTGCACATGCATAATTGCACACTCACTGCTGAATATTTACACTCCACAGCTCCCACGTGGCATAGATTCTTTCTGCATTATATTGTGTTCTTGTTGTATTTTTATTTGCTTTCTTCACTTGCTGCTTTAAAGTGCCTGAGATTTGTGATTTTACAGCCTATTTAGATGTGTTATTGCTCATCTACTAAATATTTCAGTTGTTTTATATAGTATTCCTGTGGACGACAAAGTAAGAACTTCATTGTACAGGGAAACACATTTCCAAACTGTACATATGACAAATAAAGGCTGTGACCTTGACCTTTGACCTTAAACTAAACCTTAACACTGCTGTTTGATTACAGTTTCTCTCTACCCTTACACCTTCTCCTCCTCCTTCTCTGCCACCCATTTCCCCCTAAAGCCTCACAGGAAGTGGTTAAATAAGTGCAAACTATTGGGCCACCTTAATCATTCTCATTTCATGGTTACCTCAAAGCAATTACAGTGTAGGAACCTAAGTTGCAGTTGGCTGGTCTCTTCTTCATCTGATTAAATCAGGGGTGCATAAATGGGATCAATATCCAGAGCAAGCAGAAATCCACCTCACTGCACAGCATAGCCTCAGGAGTCACATGATGCACAATAAAACCTTTTCTCCACAAAATGCAGCCTAATGGTTTTACATAACTACACATTGGCCAAACTTTAAAGAAGCCATCAACAATCATGAAAGAACTAACATGTTATGGTGGAATTCAAGAAACATATCATCAGCACAAAACTACAATAGTTGTTTCTCCGTATTTGTTCCCACACTGTATAGTGGAGTGCTGCTGAGAAGGTTTGCTGCATGCGCCACAAACATCCTGTTAACTAAGGAAATTCATTTGCAAGTCCAAAGGCCTCACCCCTTGGTGAAGCCACAGTTTCAGTGAGTGCAATCACTTGCTTATTTTCTCTAAAATACACATGCACATGCACATTCTAATCTAAACTGAAGGTAAACAACAGGTTATGTGCCTAAATCAGGCAGTGAAAGAAAGATACAGAAACACAAAACACTATCACTGATTCAGTCTCCCCTTTACCATCCCTACTGACTCTGTCCCACTCTCACCACAGCCAGGATACACTTACTGGCTCCATGGTGCCAGACAGTAGTAGATCTTTGACAGTTAGTGGGAAACCAGAGGACAGCGGCGGTCCATGTACATTAGAAGGATATTCTGTATTCCTCATCCTGCCCGTTGGGAATCTGGGCTCCCAGCCATCTGCACCCACATACAGAAGGATACACATAAAGCACATGCAAACAATCAGTCAGTTAGATATGTTAGTGTCATTGCTTCAATCCCGTGATAAAGAACAACAAAAAAGTGAGAAATGAATGTAGAGTTTGAACAGTACCCAAATACCAACTACTCTGCCTGGTCCTCAACATGTGCACTCTTGTACAGGGTGGGCCATGGAAAAGTAGCCCATGTACCCATATTGCCTGTGGCACCGGTATTGGAGACGGGCTACTTTTCCGTGGCCCACCCTGTACGAAGTGGCAAATAGCCTGCTTTATCTTCTGTGATACTGGAATTCATTGCAGGAATGAAACTAGAATATATTGTGACTGAATTTCAGTTTCAGTTTTCAAATTTCATTGGTTATTCTCTGATATGAAATATAGAGTAATCAGAGTGAAATGAGAGGGGTTATTAGAATTGGCAACAATTTTACTTATAAAAAATAATACAAAAATACACAGGTATGAATATTCTTGGTTTTCATAATCTTCTATGATAATACACTGAATATCGACTGTTGGTAAGATGGAACAAGACATCTGAACACATTTCTTTAACTCATAGTTGTAGCCCTAGTTTTGTGAATGTTGTGGATATTTGTGACTTACTGAGATCGATGGAGGCGTTGGCTTCCAGGGCTGCCTTGCTTTGTGGCTTTGTACCAAAGTACTGAGTGTCCCCAGGGGGGCTATCTGGCCTCTGTGGACTGTCCATCTGGTCTGAGGGAGGGTCCTCACTGATTCCGCTGTCACTGGGCGATGGAGACCACAGAAGTGAGCCTGACACAGAATCACTGCCACTCAGGAGGGCATTGAGGAAGTCACTGTCTGCCTGTTCGGGTGGCTGCAGCATCTGCTGGGTGAAAACTATCATTAGCTTGTCTGTGTGAGATGACAGTGTGAACAGTAAGAACAGACAAAGACCTCTATGTCAAGAAGGAACTATGCAGTAGAAAAGAGGCAAACAGTTATTTGTACTGTAGCATTTATGAGTGACATTAGAGATCCCACAGTCTCACGCACATTTGGGTCCTGGATTGGCCAGGTGTGACAGTTGCCACTGTGTCCTGTTTCCTCATGACGAAGAATTCCATCGTTTTGATCAAACAGCCAGTCAAGCAGCTCAGTGCCATTACAACCCTTAAATGAGATCACAACATTCAGTGACAGCACATAGGACTGAGGGTCACAAGACTGCTGTGTTTATGTATAAAGCCAGGAAAGATTTATTACCTGGTGGTATTCAAAAACTATTTGATGAAAGGGAAGGGGGATACAATCTAAGGGGTCAGTTAAATTATAAAATTCATGCTATACGTACAACCAAAAAAAGATTCTGTATTTCGATAAGTGGAGTAAAACTATGGAATAATTTAGGTATGGACATAAAAAGCAGTAAGAATATTGATGAGTTTAAACACAGATATAAAGGTATGTGTCAATCAAGATATATGCAAGAACAGGCTTAATGATTAATCAGACGGGAATGTGGATGTAGAATATGTATCCATGTAGTAAT